TAATATTCCTCACACAACGATCTTTCTAATCATCGTCATCTGCGGACTACGATCTTTTTGACCTTTGTCGCTCACTGACTACGGCCCTTCCGACCACCGTAACAAGATAATAAACTTTCCGACCTCCGCCGCTTGCTGACTACGGTCCTTCTAACCTCCGTTGCTAGATAACAGTCTTTTCGATCGCCGTCGCCTGCCGACTATGTTATTTCCGACCTCCTGCCAACTATGATCTTTCCTACCTCCATCGCCCACCGACTATGATCCTTCCGACCTCCATCACAAGAATATGATCGTCCGCCGACTACAATCCTTCTGACCTCCGTTGATAGAATATGGTCTTTTCGATCTTTGTCGCCCGCTGACTAGGGTCCATTTGACCTTTGTCGCTCATGACTACGATCTTTCTGACCTCCGTCGCCTGATAATGGTCTTTATGACCTCCGTCACCTGCTGACTACGATCTTTTTGACCTCCGGTTCCCGCCGACTACGATACTTTCGACCTCTGTCGTCTAATAACGATCTTTCTGACCTTCGTAAAATGCCGATTATGATCCTTCCAACCTCCATTGCCCAACAAAAATATTTCCAAACTCCGTCGCCCACCGACTAATGTCCTTTCAACCAGTGCCACCTGATTACGACCTTTCTGACCACTGTCGCCCTCCGACTATATTCTTGCCATCCAAACTAACATGTCAATACTTATTCTTCCAATTCCCACCATGTAATGCACTCTATATGATGTATATTTTCTACATCAAGCCAATGCCTTCTCCCAAGGAAAGGCCTCATTTATAATCAACTGCAAACATTAGTGGATTCATTCGAATTGGATTAGACCCTTTGATTTTCCCCGTTTTCAGGTGTTTCGAGGTAAAAACTCTGATGTCTCTTCTAAACGCTATGCCCTTTCTTTTATCTGATTGTGTGCTGGATCTTCATACAAATCTAAGACTTTAAACTTTATATTTCTCTATCGTCGTGAATATTACAGGACGTAACAATACTAGCTAGTCTAATATGATTATTAATTGCTTACTTATTATTATATATCAACATCACAACAAGGCTTCAACGCACTATGTAGGGGCGGCTATATGAATCATTTTTTTCTTCATTGTGCTATGTTAAAAGTTAAATTCTGATTTAAATCTAATAAAGAAATGTTATTTTTAATTTTTTATAACCAAGTCTTAACATAAGTCAAATATAATACATCAACTTTCATAACCAAGACATCGGAAGACCATCGTTTTATATGATTAAACCATCTAAGGCGTCTCTCTCTAATCTTATCTTCCATTGGAGCTTGTCCAACCTTTTCACGTATATGCTCATTTCATATACTGTCTTTAATAGTAAAGCCACTCATCCACCTGAGCATCCTCATCTCTGCAACACTTTGACTTAATATTATCCTTCTCTTTTAATGACCAAAATTCTGCATCATAAAGCATTACAAGTTTAACCACCAACTTATAGAAATTTTTCTTAAGTTTGAGGGGGACTTTTCTATCATATAACAAGCTCGATGCATTCCTCCACTTCAACCATCCAACTTAAATAATACTAATAATATCCCCAGCTATTTCACCACCACTTCGAACAATAGATCCAAGATAACTAAAATGTGTCCTCTTATGAATGACTTGATCACCCAAAGTCACAATCCCCACATTAGAACTATTATTTCTAAAATTATATTCCATATATTTAGTTTTAGATCTACTCAAACAAAAACCTTTAGACTCTAAGGTTGACATCCATAAAGTTTACTTTCAACTCCTCTAGTTTTATCAACATGAATAATATCATCAGCAAAAAGCATACACCAATATAAAACATCTTGTAAATATCTAGTGAGAACATCCATGACTAAAGTAAACAAATATGGGCTTAAGGCTGATCCTTGATGTAATCCAACTAATGCAATAAATAAATAGTTGATAATATATAATATTCTAACAAAAACAAAATTTTCACATGTCTATTAGAGCCTAATACCTTGAAAGTGAGTAGCTATTCTATAAACTCCTCAACTAAGCTAGCAAATCATATCAACAAGCACATCCATCATTCATCAAGCATGCAATAATATGATATATAAATATTATCCTATCAGTTATTTATTATAATCAAAATTCTATTATTAATATGATTAATATTTACTTATCCTTAAATGTTAAGGCTCTATTTATACTGTGATGTACTACTATATTACAAAATTCTGATTAATTATTTGATAACTTTTTTATTTAAAATATTGTAATTATTTGATAAAACAGATGTGGACTCCTCTAGCTGATACGTATGGTGGGGACAAACATTATTAGCAATAATTTAGTAACTGATGTGGACAACTCCAATTACAAAATTTTATTATTATTATTATTTTCAACACTCTGATAAGTGATTCACATTGAGCTGCAATTTGACTTCATTTCAGTTTATTTATTTCATACATTCGGTAGGGACACCTCTTGTACTGAAATAATGCAAATCATGTGACAAAATACCTTTATGACTAAGTTGGGGATTCAAATGGGCATGATAAGTATGTGCTGTTTTTCGAGAAATTATTTTGTGTGGTCACTGAAGGATGTCTAGAGTCGAATGAAAATGTGTCACGTCATTTTTTTCTTGTGTACTGCTTACTACTGGGTGACATGACGCGATCTGATTCGCCTGTGGACTGTTCATTGACCGCACAGAATGATTTCTCCTGCTTTTCAGCTGTTTTTATATGTTATATATTTTTATTTTTATAGATATAATTTTTAAAAAAAATATTCAATTTTTGCAGTCTGAAACTTTAGAATTAGTTGTAAATAATTATTGAAAATTATTAATATTTTATGTATATATATATTGTTAAAAAAACATTCTAGCCTGTTCTAACTAAGGTGATGCTATAAGTGAATAAATTTAAAATAATTTGGTGGTTTTTTGTGGGGGTTGTTTTGCTTTTCTGGTTGAGGCCTTCTCTTATGAGACTTTCAGGTTTTGTTTGAGACGATTTTTTTATTGCTTTTTAAAGTAATTTTTTTGATACAAAAAATCTAATTTGTATACTAGAAAGTTGCTTTAATAAGCAGTAAAAGAACTGTCCCAAACAAAGCCTCAATTTGCTATCACCTATCATACTCATAATGAACCTTGCAGGATTTAATGGTAATTTAAATGTAAAATCTTTTAAGAAAATCAAACTAAACTCTTAAATATCGAGATATCTTTAAACGTAATGATTATAATTTCATTAGAATATATATATATGTATAATTTGAAAATTAAATAGAAAGAGTAATTCAAACAAGCGAAGGTCTTTGTTGTTATATGGAGTTCTTTGAGGAAATACTATCTTAATCAGAGTTATGTGACAATTATCATACAAAAATAGTTGAAAGTGGATGCAGTACTAATACTAATCATTAGCATAATTAACATGAACAAATTAAGGTTATCACTAACGAGAATTTGTAGACAAAAGAAGAAACTAAGGAATATTGCAAGCATAAGGGGATGGAATGTGGGGTAATGAGGGTATGTGCTTCCACTGGCCCTCAAATATTTATCAAAATTATGAAAATATAATTAGGGTTATTTTGCGTCATTTTTTTTAATACAAAAAACTATTTATTTATAATTAGTTATCATTAATAGTTTTGGCTAGTTGTAAAAAATGTTTTCGCTGTTAGGGGTGCAAACAGTCTAACTAAAGTTCGACTCGCGAGTCAAATATCGAGCTCGAACTCAAATTAAGTTAAAAAGATGAGCTCAAGCTCAACTCGTGCTGTGAAAATGAACTCGTGAGCTGCTTGCGAGCCAAATCCGTAGTTCACCTATTCGCTTCCGCTATTTGCACGCGAAGGTGTTGTTTGCATAGTTCGCACGCGCAGGCGCGGTTTGGTGTTCTCCTTTTGCCACGCACAAATGCGCTTCCATCTGACCTTCCGCCTTCCACATTTACTCTAGCGCTCAATGAGTACTCGAGCTGAGCATTACCCGATCTTGAACTCAAGCTGAGTATTACTCGAGCACGAAGTCGAACTTAATAATCCAATGAGCTTGAAATTATGCTCAAACTCAAAACTTGAGAAACTCGACTAACGAGCTCATTAACAAGTCGAGCTCAAGCCAACTCGCGAGTTGGCTTGACTCGATTGCACCCCTATTGCACCATGGTTGTTTCTTGTTAAATTTTAGAGTTTTGGGTTAGTTTATTTTTATTTCAATAAATTTATTACATTAATAAAAGTCAATTGCTTCTTGCTCATTAGTTAATGAGGTTAGAGAGTAGTCATTAATGCTTAAGAATGTTTGTTTCAACCAAAATTTAACATTTGACTTGTGTTAGATTTTGGTTAAGGAACATTTTACTTTTTCTGTTAGTTTAACACACTATAAGTTAGATTTGTGCTTAGCATACAATTATTGATGTGATGTCTTATTTGTATGTTTATTT